GGAGGAAACAGGATGCGCAAAAGTCAAGCTCTTCAATCCCATTTTGAGTGTGGCAGCTGCTGCTGCTATAGGCACCACGCACATCTTGTGTCGCATAAGTTGTGAGAACGCAGTCTAGGCGTGGCCACCCGACACTGTCATCACTCACCAGCACCAGCACAAAGCAAATGAACATAAAATTTCAAGGGTGTGTTTAGTACAGTACATACTGGACGTACTCGAGTATTTTACTATACTCTGCTAATAGTAGGTTTAGTACAGCTTTCGATACTACTGTACTAAACCTACTACACGCTTTAGTACAGCCCTCGGTACTGTACTATACTCCGGGTTTAGTAATGGGTTTGGACCGCTACTATACTCGGCGTAGTACAGTACTGCTGAAAATACTGTACTAAACTTACTGTACGCTTTAGTACACCTCTCCGTACTGTACTATACTGTAGGTTTAGTACAGCCCTCGATACTGCACTATAATCAGTAGTACGTTTAGTACAGCTCTCCATACTATACTATAATCAATAGTACGTTTAGTACAGCTCTCCATACTATACTAAAGCCAACGCTTAGTACTATCAGTACTGCTGTACTCTACTCGTTCGGGTAGTAATCCGGATATCTACCCGGATCTGCCCGGATTCCGGCCAAAGGATGTGTTGATGACGTCATTCTTGCGCAGAAGCGGCGTGTTTTGGTTCTGTGTGTGTGTGCGTCCACACAGAGTATGCAGCACAAGTACTAGTACTATTAATACAGCGTTAGTCATCAGTACTTTGCTTTTACTTTTTGGTTTTGTTGCCCTCGGTGCTGCTTGAAGTAACGGCTGAGGCGGAATTATCATGGCCGACATAAGAATCTCGGGAGGGACGGACCGGGCGAGGAACACCGGCGGGATTGTCTTTCTATTCGTGTTGTTTTCGGTATTTTGCTTCACTTGAACGCTTCTTTTCTGTGTGCGTCCTGGTACGCATTAATATGGGGTCTCCATGCTGCTGTATTGTCCCCAAAGTCAATAATATGCGTTAGTACAGCCCTCGATACTGTACTATCCTAATAGTACGCTTTAGTACAGCTCTCGATACTGTACTATCCCAATAGTACGTTTTGTACAGCCCTCGGTACTGTACTATACTCCGGGTTTAGTATCGGGTTTGGATCGGTACTATACTCGGCTTAGTACAGTACTGCTGAAAATACTGTACTATACTTTTGGGTATAGTACAGCTTTCGATACTGTACTAAACCTACTGTACGCTTTAGTACACCTCTCCGTACTGTACTTTACTGTAGGTTTAGTAGCCCTCGATACTGTACTAAAGAGTACGTTTAGTACTACAACCAATACTGTACTAAAAATACTGTACTGTACTAAACACACACTAGCAAATGTTCACTCAGCCCGCGTTTGTCCACGAATGCTTCTGTCTTAAATATATAGTTGAGACTTGTCCTCGGTGTTGATGCAACCGTCATCGTGGCATCTGGTTTACATGAATGCGTGCTGTCTGCGTTTATCTGCGTGGATGGATGGATGGATGGGAAACCGCAGGTGGGATCCCGTGCGAGCTTGGACGCCTTCACCACATCAACCTCCTCCTTCTCGACGGCAACCATCTGTCTGGTAAGCTCGAGCTAGCGTTCGTTGTGTTGTGTGTGTTTTGCCTCCCCGTGGTGCATGCGTGCACTGGATGAAAAGTCACAGGGCCGTTCTTCTGCTCGTATGTTTCTTTCCCCGATCCATGACCCATAGACTACTGCCCTATTCGTGTCTACGTGGTTGGGGGGCGGGGGGGCTCCGCAGTTTTTTTCCGATCTATGTACACGAGGCCGATGACAATCGCATGACACGTATGGAACTAGCAAAACGTTGTACTTTTACACATGTAAATACACCCTAATGCGTTCCGCTCGCCCGCCATAATGCCCGTGAAAATTGGAAAGCGCGTATATGACGGCGTTTACCGGCCCCCACTTTTGTAGCATGCTTTTTAACAGCACGTGTTTCGCGGTCTCCTCTCTCTTTTCTCTGTCGTGTCGAACACGAGACTGCCTTGTCTGCCGGTCGTGTTCTAGTTTTGTCCTTGCCTCTCGCTCGCTCTTCCCTACAGCATGATAACATACTGTAGCTCCACTAACCGAAACCTCCGGTGGCCGTCTACCGTAGACGTGACGATTGTCCTGCTGCACACATCATGACAGAAATATTTATTGCTCTACACGTGAACGGAGTCGCGCGTGCTCAATCAAGTGTGCTATTTCCTCTACGAGTCTGCGTCTAGTTTTGTTCTTGCTTCTGCCTTACTTCCTAAACTTTGCCTGCGTGTGTCTAGAAGGTTTTTCCTTGCGGGTCTGTATTTTCCAATTGCTGTTGTAAGGGTGTTGTTGTCTTCTGGGGTTTATTTTGTGGATGTACGTGCCTTGCTTGTTGCTTGCTGCGTCGCTCTCGCAGAGTCGCCTCCGGTAGTGGGGGGCAAGGGGCTGCGGCAGTGGCAGGTCTCTCAGCGCAAGGCCTTCCTCAACAGCTGGAGCATGGTGGACCGCCTGTCGCACCTCGAGGCGGAGAACGCGCAGCTCCGAAAGGAAAACGATCTTTTGAGAAAGGTGTGACGACGACCAAGGTTTCGGGCGAGAGTTTAGTTATATTCTACACGTTGTTGTCATGTGTTGGTCACGCAAACGACGTTTTGCTGTGTGGATCCGTTGTCCGAAGGCGGTGCCAAGTTTGTGCGAGGACCGACGCGAAGCATTGCGCGATGCAACACACGCTCCCTTTTTCGTGATAGGAAATGCCCCCGAAGGAGCCCGAAGCGGGTCCTTCCCCTTTTTTTTTTGGCTATATGCACACTGCGCCACCCCCCTACCTCCCCCCTACCCTCCTGTGACATGAACGAGGGGCGAGAGCAGCGTCGCAGAGGGCACGGTCTCTGGCTTCCCCCAAGCTTGGACGGCGTACCGCCCTGTTTCCCGCTGACCACGGACACAATCAACACCCTGATCGCCTCCGCCCCCCGTGCCGGGAGCCCTCGGTAAAAAACTGATAAACCTAGTGACTATCTGACGCTCTCCCTCATCCCGCTGAACGGAGCTCCTTTACCAGCTACAAGGGCACTGACCATCCGCTTGCCAAAGACGCCCCGCAGCCCCCCGCCCTCCTCTCGCAACAGCGAGCATCGCAGTGCAGTACATCGCCGCCTCATCCTATTGGTCCCGTCGCATGCCCCCCCCCCCCCCCCCCCCCCCCCCCCCCCCCCCCCCCCCCCCCCCCCCCCCCCCCCCCCCCCCC